GTGTACTAATTCGTCAATGTAGTAATAATGAAAAATTTCAAAGTATCGATCGCCAATGTTGTAATAATGAGAAATCCCAAAGTATCGATCTCAAGACTGCGTATCAGTATCGAGTTCAATTTGTGGTTCAATTAAACAAAATTTGAATTGGGGTTTTAGTTTGGAAATTGTCAATTAACAATAATTAAAATAAGCAGAATGTAAATTAAGGTTTTTTTCTCAGATATGAGCAGCATGTTAGGGTATGGTATATAATTTTCCCTATATTTTGATTTTTTCAACAAGTTCATAATACTAATTATCAGCCTTTAGGATATTTTCCCTAAGTCCTTTTAGTGGAAAAATCTTTGAACATCCGTCCTAAATCCCAAGTCTTTAGAGATATCTGAAGGATTCAAAGAGTTATCTAGTAACTATATGGTAAAACTTTAACCATTGCGGTCCAACTAATTGTTAACAGTAGAACAATCATAATTTGTTCGATAAAGAAAACATGAAAAACCTTGTACAATTAAATTGAATAATAAAAACCATGTAATTGATGAAATCAGAAATTCGAAGTCATTACAGAATCAAATCAGTGACACCCCTAACATTGAGGGATTTAGCTACAAAATATTGTCCAAAAACATTGACTTCTTTAATCTTCAGTCGTGTCCTCCTCCTTTCTTCTTTTTCTCCCAAAAAAATCTTATAAACCAAATAAGGGTTTTCACTACTAACTCAAACTGGGTCGGAAACATAAACCAGGCTCGTAAAACAACCTGAAACAACTAAATTCTAAAGTCTGCAACTTTAATGAATTTTTCAAGGCTTCTACAATCTGAATCAGCTTCTGACTTCAACATGAAAGTTATAGATTTTTCTTTCAGCTTTTCAACAAGTATTAAAATGCATTGATCCGATTCTCGTAGCTTCAGTTATGATTTTTTTAGTGAAACCTAATCAATCAGCACATTGGCTGACACGAGCTGTGTTGCCTGACTCGGGTGGCCGTGTTGCACCTCCTGAAGCGTGCTGGAAACTTTTCCGAAACTCTAAAATGCACGACTAACGCATAAAATATGGTAAAATGAAATAAAACACTCGACAATCAAAAGAAAAGATAATTGAAATCAATGACAAATAACTATGTAAAAACCACTGACCATTGTCCGAGGAAAAGTAATAGACGACAAACAACATCATACTCTTTAGGTTACTCCCCTTCATTGTTGGGACATCAAATATTATAGAACAACCTTTGTTGTTGATGGTTAACCAATCTGATATATTGTCACAGGGGAGTAAATATGAATCCCAAGTTCCATCAACAGTCTGCACAATGAACAAATGTGAAAATGGACTAAAATTACGAATCAAGGGAAAATAAAGTTCATTTCAATCCACGCTTTCATCTTCGATTCTTTCACGCGTTCTTGGATGCGTTCATTCCTATGAGCTCTGGGAACGTATTCTTGCGCATTTTCAAAAGCTTACACGTGCGAAAGCAAGACAACTACGAGCGGAACTCAGATCTACAACACTTGAAGACAAATTTGTTGGTGATTACCTGGTTCGTATCAAAGTTCTTGTTGATGCGCTTGCTTCAGTAGGAGATCCAGTTCCAGATTAACAACATATTGATGTGATTCTTGAAGCTCTTCCTCAAGACTTTGCCTCTGTTATTTCAGTCATTGAAAGCAAGTTTGATTCAGTAGAACTTGAAGAAGTTGAAACTCTACTTCTTGCTCATGAGATGAGATTCAAAAAGTATAAGAAACACTCTCAAATGAAGGTGGCTCCCTCAGTGAATCTCACTCAAGCCAATTCTCAACCTGAAACTGATAACTCCAATAACAAGAAAACTGAACAAGCTGTGAATTCAACCTTTAATCCAACCTATTCAAGAGGAGGTCGTGCATCTGGCCGTGGTGGTGGATGTGGCCGTGAAAGAGGTAGGTTGAGCAACATTCAATGTCAAGTTTGCTTCAAATATGGTCACCTTGATGCTAATTGTTATCACAGGTTCAATCAATAGTTTCAACCTAACATACCTGTTGATTTTCAAACAACGAACCTACAAATTTCTACAATCCGTATCAACCAATTGGTGGACCTCAGTTTGCTCAGCCCATGGTTAACACTTGGTCACGCCCAAGCTATCAACCAAGACTTGCTCCTCTCTCTATTCCTCAGTCACAGATCATTCCTAATGTTATGATTGCTAACACAACTTCAGTTCCAAGCAGTGCCTGGTTCCTAGACACAAGAGCTTCTTATCATATTACCAATGCCTCTCAAAAACATACAGCAGACCACACCTTTTGAAGGTCCTGATCATATCTTCATTGGTAATGGAAGGTTTGCACATTCACTCTTCAGGATCTTCTTATTTACCATCTCATTCTAAACCCAACACTCCATTATGTTGTACCCCAAATTTGTCCTACCTCGATGATTTTATTTTCTAAGATTAAAATTGAAGAATTATTTAATTAAGGATGGTACAACAATATCTGATGACCCCTTTCTTAAAATATTAAATCAACCAGGGGGTGTGTTTTAATTCAAGAGAGTGGGGCTTTTTAAATCAGAAAAACCCATGTATCTGTAGGCTCGTTTACGAAGTATGTTGGCCAATGGTCCATACGATTCAAATATGGAAATGATTTCAAAAATAATTTTCAAATTCTTAAAGCCCATTTAGGTTTAAGTTGTTATTAGTAAAAGGAGGAGGTGAGACCGCGATTTAAAAGCCCATCTTAGAGGGCCCATTTTTCGTTGGGCATTACATAGTAAGAAATAGGGTATGGTTATAGATTATGGGCTCATTGAGTTTTTGAAACCAGGCCCAATTAACATTTTTTGACACTTACTATTTTATCTATAAAAAAATGTTTTCATTAAAATCATTTATTTAAAGTTGTTTTGGGCCCAATATGGATTAAAGAGCAAAAGGCTCGCTGAAAATTTTTGTTGTTAATTAGGGCCTAATACTTGGCCCATTTCGTGTTTGGCATTTGGGAATCATTTTCTGGTTTATGTTTTTGTATTATTTAGGTTAATAAATCTTTTTTAACAAAAATTTTTGTTTTAGAAAGATAAGGAGTTTTTGGATTAAAGGCCCGATCTAAAAGAAAAATGTGTGTTGTTGCTGGATCAAAAGAAACGGAAAAGCCCAATTCATATAATAGCACAACCCCAAATCAATAACCTTTACTGTGTAAATCAAGGAGGAGAATAGGCGTGTTTTATGGGATTAATAAGTACTGTAGAAATTGAATCTTCAAAAACAGGAAGTTATAATCAAACAAAATCAAATCTTTCATTCCAACAAATCCAAAAGAATCAATTATACAAATATGAAATTTACAGTAAATCAATTACAATAAACACAATCAATTAACATAATCCCTAACGACTAACCCTAAAACCCTAAATTCCTATATATATTGATAGAAAGAACAACAACTGGGGGAGGGAGAAAATACTGAAATCGCGAAGCTTATAGAGAGACGGAGAAGAGCTTGAAGAATGAAAGACCCGGTTTTGCCGTTGAACCAAGACGGTTGATGCGATTGGGGTTTTGACATCCGAAAACCTAATCGCTAGCCGCTTCCTCCACCCACCACCATCAACTTCAACACCACCATAACCTGCAAAAAGACCAAGGAGAAGAAGAAGTTAGCGGAGATTCAGAACGATCATAGAGGGTAACTTAACTTTTCGTTTTCTTTTTTATTGGTTGTTGGGTTGGTTTGTAATAAAATGGTAGAGGTTGTTTACGGCACCGGTAGTTGGAAAGTTAGGGAAGAGAAAGAAACTAGGGCTAGCAGCGAGAGAGAAGGAGGAAAGGGTTAGCATTGCGAGAGAGAGAAGATGATAAACTGTAAAAATAAAAACTAAATGGATTTCACAAAATGTAAATAGAAAAACAATATTTATGTTCCGTAAGATCCCATACGCGCTCGCATACCATAGTTAACATACGCCTTCAAGTTTATCCCTTAGATCTGCATCAGACGGCCAGAGGCCAAGTCTGCATGACAACTAACGTACGCCCTCGCATAGACAATCTCCCTGAACCTCTCCAAACGCGTTTGGGCCTAATCCCAATGGTTTTCACACCCCCATCCGCCCATATTTCTGAAGCAAGAACAACCGTACACCTCCCTTCAAAAATCTGCACAATGGGCCTAGCCCAACCTCCTTTTAGCACCCCCTTTGTTTTACTCTATAACTAAAAACGCACCCACCTGATTTAAATTATTATTTCTTTTATATTATTTTTTATCTATTATATTTTTATTCTTATTATTATTAAATTTTTTTATGTAACAATTATTATTATACTTTCTCTTTATATTTTATAATTATTATATTTTATACTATTATTATTTTGCTTAATTTTTATATTATTTATCACATGTAAATAATTTATTTTATCACTACGCCAAATAAGCTATTTAATAGCGCTTTTTTTTGTTTTTGATAGCGCTTAAAAGTGCTATTAACCGCGCCACTATTGTAAATATTTCTTATTTAATAGCACTTTAAAAGCGCTATTAAAGTACCAATTTATAATAGCGTTTTAATTAAAGTGCTATCAAAGTCAGTATTTTGCATGTTTTTTGTTTGTTTTTTTATAGCACTCTAAACAAAAAGCGCTAATATATAACATATGTTTGATAGCGCTTTCAAATAAAGTGCTAATAAATGGTACATATTTGGTACAATATTTTTAATAAGTACAGTACAATATTTTTTCTTACACAATCATTTTTTTTGGTGTAAATATAAAATAACTATATTCAATTCAACACAAATAACGCTTTAAGTTACTCATTGCATATATATTATGATCCATCAAATACCAAATAACATTTTAAATTACCAAATCCTATTGTTTCCAAATATCATAACATATAGAATATTAAGAGGGCGTTTGCATAGCCAAATTTGTAGATGCCCATCTATGAGTACTTCAATCCAAATCCAAAAACATACAATCAAATTCTCTAAACAAAACACCAAAAAAATAAGAAAAGAAGCATTCCATAGCTGTAAACATCTGCTTTTACGGTTATCGGTCGATTACTAACCCATTCTGGTGCCAAATAGCCTCTAGTGCCTCTTACCATTGTTACCACATGAGAATGTTCCCTTGCCATCAATTTAGCAAGTCCAAAATCAGATACCTTGGGACAAAAGTTTTCATCTAACAATATATTTTCTGGCTTGATGTCACAATGTATTATCTTGTTTCTACACTGCTCATGAAAGTATGCAATCCCTTGTGCAGTATTTTTGGCTATATCAAAACGAGTTTGCCAATCGAGCAATCTATCTGGTCCTCGAATCGAAGGGAAGATCCACTGATCCAATGAACCATTCTTCATGAACTCATAAACTAAAAGCCTGCAAAACAAACATTGCTTAAGCCAACTAAAGCGATGAAATTTGAATTCTTACGATGAAATTGTAAATAAAATAGTACACACCTCTGAGGTCCCTCAGAACAAAAACCACATAAACGAACCAAATTCATATGATGCATTGAGCCAATCGTGTTTACTTCGGTGATAAATTCTTTCTCTCCATGAGGCAAAATCTTATCAAGTTTCTTCACCGCGACTAAGGTACCATCTCCTAAGCTTCCTTTATACACACTTCCAAATCCAACTACAAAATATAAACAGTTAGCAACAAATTATATTAAAATCAAAGCGCGGTAAGATTCAATTCATTATAGGACACACATACCTGTTCCTAGAAGCTGCGAAAAGTTACTTGTCCTGATCTGCAAAGCGCGGTAAGTAAAATTCACTGGAGCACCTGATAAGACCAATGAACATTCCATCTCTCTTTTCAAAGTTCTTTTTCTATGAACACTGTAATACAGTAACATAGTGAGTAAAATAATGAGAACTATCATGCCTAGAACAATTGGAATAATCACAGCCTTTTCCTTAGCACTCCCCATTCCATCAGAAGAACTGTTATTAGACCTTCCCTCTTGTCCTTCTGGTGTCCATGAACTATTTGCTCGAACCTTCACAAACAAAGTAGAGCTCGTATCTTCAAAACCGCCGAAACTTAAACTCCTCAACACCCAACAAAAAGGTCTTTCTTCATTTAGTCCATAAACAGAAGCAACACAATCACAATCGGACAAACATGCATCGCCGCATTTTGATACAGAAGAAACATCACTCTCACTATAATTAGCTATTATTGAAGATTCAGAAAAATAATAATTAGTTTGTTGCACTGTCGAAATTCTAAAACTCGATGTCTTGTTTTCGTTTTTTCCATTAGTACATTTTCCAACCAGAGATGAATTCTCATAACATTGTCCATCTCTTCCTAGTTTAGAAGTTCCTGGTAAACAAGTGCAAGAAGCATTAGTCTTAGTTTTATCCAATTTACATACTCCATTACCACAAATTCCACCAATATCACATGGATTTGAAACTGCAGCCCACTGTGACACCCATTGTTTCGATCCATTTACGTCTTCCCATCGGTATAACCTCAGATTTCCATTCTCTTCGAGTGTCAGTCTCCTAAGAACGGTTAACGGTGTAGATTGATGAATTGCAGAAGCTAAACCTGCATCATCATTATCATTCTTATAAACATAAACTGCACCATCAGATGGATTTCCATATACAATTCCAAAGCTTCCGGCTTGATCTAAAACCGCGATAACTTCTCCGGTTACATTGGAAATATCAGGACCTTGCCAATAAGAATAGTTTGCATATGATTCATTTTCATCAAAAGTTTGGTAACTTTCTGGAAGATTGTAAGTTAGTGCAAGACTTAAAGAAGTTGGTTGCTGAAGCATTTTGAGAGCATAGTAGCCACCATGAGATGAGGATTTTGATGATGTTAATTCTGAAGAAACTGTTAGAGGCTGGTTTGGGAGAAGTGTGTTTGAAGGTTGAGAAAAACTCTGCCATATAGGGTGGTTGTTTGTGCTGTGAAGGATGAAGTTACCAGATTCTGACATGGTTGCTGATTCTACATTAGCATTTGATGTGTTTGAGGCCCATATGGTGACTTTTTTGTCGACGAGGACGAGGTTTCCTGTTGTGTCAAGCTCCAAAATTGCTTCTTGAGATGTAGGTGAGTTTCTGTTTGGATTGAAAAAGAAAATTAATCAGTTCATTGAGAGAGTATGATAGTGCAACAACGAAACATGGACACGATAAAGGTATCAGATACGTCAGTTATTGAAAAATCTAGGATAAGATACGAAAGTAGTGATATTAGTTAATAGCAGATGTACCTATTGGGTGACCAAACGAAAGTTCGATCTCCTGGAAGGCTAGCAAACCAAATGCCTAACGTGAATAATCGATTATCAGTGTCTGATGGAGTGAAGCCGATAGTGAATGTTCCGTTATCAGGTAGTCCCGAAAAACGATCGAAGTTCATAATCATACTAACAGAGAAAATTGGAAAAAAAGTTGAAAACTAACTTGTCTCAGAATAATCACCGGCAGCCACCGTGATCGAACACCGACAATAAATCCATCACCAACGACTCTAACTATTTGTAATTTCTTCATTACATTGACTCTAACTGTGGATGACTGAAAGCAGATTGAAACTCTTGCACTATTTAGATACAAAACCATTCAAATATTGAATCACATGCAGACTACTTCTCCAAAATCCTTTATTGTGAGCATGCTTTGGTTCAAAATTGGGTGCAGAAGTCAAGTAGTTTATGATAATTAGCCATACATATAAGATGTAAATTTTTTTTCCTATGATAAATATACTTATATGCAGTCTATCAATATAAGTAATGCACGTACATCAGAATTGGAAACAGTATATGTTAACTCGTCATACTTCCTCTAAATCCTGTAAGATACCCTTTATCAGAATTGATGAGGCGAGTTTGAAATTCTGCCCACTCACTCTTGCATCTCATTATGACCCCGTTTACATGATGAAAACCACAAACTCCTTGTTACTATATCGCACAAATTTCACATACAGTACATCAGAGAATTGTGACAGTAATATCGTTTTCGTGTCAAATAAACATACCGCATCATATTTGTCTTTTCCATGATCATATTCTCCCTGAAATTTGTAAATATAGATCTAAGAATTACTTTTAATAAAAAATTTGCAGGTTGAAAGCACAATCAGTTTAGTTTATTATATCAGAAAATGTGTAGCAGTAAATATCTATGTAAGTTAGTGATAATGACTAACTCGTTCACCAAGAGTAGGAATTGTTTGATGAACAATCCATTGTTCATCAACCACACCAATTTTTTCATGTGCTGGCTGCCAAAAAAATAAACAAAAAGTAAGGCATTGAAGGGACCAGAAACATATGAAATAGAACCATGAATTATGAAACGACGTTAAATCAATAACACTTAAATAACACCGACATAGAAAAATCGAAAAACATGCTTGCTATATGTTTAATAGTTACTGTTATTGATGTTCCACATCCTTCAATAAGTTTGTTAAGAGAACCCAAAGCTGCAAAATTTTTGCTCAGTTTAGAATATATTATGAATAAATCAAATCTTAGAAGCATAAACAAAGCTGCAACCTCATTGTAGCATTGTAAATCCATGAAATCTGAGGAACCACTAAGCTGCAAACCAGTAAATTTGCAATTTCATCAGTATAATTACAAATTTAACAGCCTTGGATATATTATATTTAGAACATTTAGACAAAAGCATGTAAAAGCATGTTGCAACTCAAATATTACAAACTAAACAGAGCTCTAACATCAACTAAACACCACCAGCATCAAACCTGAAAGCGCACCAGGCCAAGACAGGTATGAAGTATAATCATGAAAAGATACACTAAAAATAATAGAACAACGATGTACCGAATAAACTAAAACAGATCAACAATGCAATAACAAAGGGCAAAAGTTTGCTTCATGAGAATAGCCACTACAATAAGGTTGAAACATAATTTTTTCAGGTATTTCTTAAAATCATTTCTTTTGCAGTCACACCACACTAGGAATCAAGTTCTCCTATTTTGTCTTCTTCAAAATATATTTTGTTTCCCTGTTTCAAATATTGAAGAAATAAAAACTGTGAAACACCGACAACATTGTAAAAACAGTGAAACACCGACAACATTTAAATTCATAGTTAGACAATAGTACATGATCAAAACCTAAATTGAAGTAAAATATTTCAGATACCTATGTTATTCTCCAGTCCATGTTGTTCTTTTCTTCTTGTCGTCACCATTCAATAATAAGCAACATATACAATAAGAGGTCATTTAAGTTATCAACATTCAATAACATACAGCTGAGTCTACCATTTATTTTATAGAATAAAGACAATACTTTTGTATATGGAAGAAGATTAAACTTCACACAAAAGGCAATCACGGAGAAAATTGTACCGAATACTAAAGAAACTGATAAGTGTATTAAAAACTAAGGATGGAAACCACCGAGATCAAATCATGAATTAATGTATCTTCCAAATTAAACCAATGAAGGACGAGGAACATAATGCACCATATTGAGACAAGGAAGAATACACAGTGATGGTGTAGAAATATCAAGCAAGACAAACACAACAAACCATACAAGTACCGACAAATGTGTAGTAAACAATAAATGCAACTGACAAATAAGAGCCACTAGCATATTACAAACAGAAATGGAAAGTGTTGAGGTTAAGTTAAAGCATGACTGTATGTACAAAGGAACTATAATGAAAGAGCAGTTTGAAGCCCAGCCATTTTCTTAACAGTTTGATCCATCTTGAATTATACATCAGTTCAATTTCCCAAATCACAAATATTAAAAAAGCTATTAAGTAGGCTTCATTGTAATAAAATGCAACTACAATTAATTCAATTACTACAATTAAAAAAGCTATTACTCATTGCTAAAAAAAACTTATGATGATTACATAAGAGAAAGATCATACCAATGTTACAAAATCTACTCCTCCAACACAACAGTCAAATCCTTCCGATGAACACGACTCCTTAACATTCATTCCATTATCCCCTTCAACATCTAAACGAAACCAAAAACAACAAATTATTCATCAAGCATTAACATGAATAACTACTAATAAAAAATAAAAAAATCACCGTAAAGAAAACTAACCTGACTGGTTTTGCAAAAATTTGTCTCTACAAGTGCTACATGCCAACCAATTTGGGAATCCATTAGTGGAAACATCACAACAAAAAGTATGAAAACGATGCTTAAACGAATCAATTGCATTTGCATTTATAATTTCCTTAGCTCTATCAAGAGTCTCATCACTACAATCGCAAGCATAAACAATAACATCCTTGTTTGCCCTACAAAGAATTCCAAAAATAAAAATCAATAGCGTGATGAAGAATAAAAAAAAGTCCGAGAAAAAAAAAAGGAATACCGTAGAATAGGAAGAACGGTGCTTCCATTGCCGCAACCAACCTCCAACAGTTTAGGGTTAGAATTCGGGTGAGAGGAAAGCAATTGAGGAAACTCCTTTAACAAATAGCGTCTCTCCAGAAAAAAGGGGTGAGTGAAGTGAATGTGGGAGGTGTGAAAAGAAGGAATGTAATGGAACCGAACCTTGAAGAATTTGCCGGAGGAGTGACGAGTGTGAAATTGCTTCCAGGCTTGAACGTCTGATTGAGGTGATTGCGAGTTAGAAGAAGATGATGAATCGAAATGGTGGCGAAGAGAAGGGTTTGATTCAATTTCTGATCTGACGAAGGTGTTTTTTTATTTTGTTTCGGTTTCTAATTGAAATAACTTTCTGAAAATGTGTTTTTTTTTTTTTTATTAATTAATTAATTAATTCATTATTATATATAACATAGCGCTTTTTAATAAATGCTATTATATAGGTAGTCAAATAATAGCGTTTTATACAAAATGCTATCTTAAAGAAGTTTAATAATAGCGTTCTGGTACAAAGTGCTATCATAATTACATAGTCTGTATTATATAATAGCGCCCGGTTAAAAAGTGCTATTATAAATGTGTTTTTTCCATTTTAATAGCATTTTTTTTAAAAGTGCTATTAAATTAGGTGATACAAAAAATCATTTTTGGCGTAGTGTATTCAAAAGATTCATATATTATTCTCTATACATTGCATTAAATATTTTTATATCATGCATTAATTAACATTTTTGTAATTAATACGATTAAAAAAACACACAACAAACAAAAACTATTTTTCACAATAAACTAAGTTAATCAACTGTTTTTGCAAAGGGTTTCAAACAGATTTTGACTTACCGCGTATTTAGTCAAAATCTCTGCAATCACTACTCCCGACCAAAATGCGAGGTGATTCAAAGTACTTTTGCGACTCCTAAAAAACACCAACCCCTCACGAACTACGAATTGAGACTCTGATTCCTCATAAGAGGATACGTAGGCATACGATCAAAAATCGTGGCGAGTTCCCCTATTAAAAATTAAAACACTTTTCCCCTATTAAAAAATTAAAACCCTTTTTTCCTTATTAAATTTTAAATCCCTGTTTACCCCAAACCTAATCCTAAAACCTAATATCCTTGTGAGCAAGGTAGATGAAAGGTGCCTAACACCTTTCTTTCGTCTAATAAAGTCCGAAACCTAGAATCTCTGTCTTTGAATTAGGGTTTTCTGTTAGATTCCCTTCCCTAAGATAAAAACTAATAGTGGCGACTCCTGATTAAAAATCCAATTGCAACAGCTGACGACTCTGTTGGGGACTCTCCTTAATCCTAGGTTTTAGGTCTCTTTTGGGTTTTTATTTATTTGCATTAATTTATTTATTGCATTTATTTATTTCTGGTCTATTTTTCTTTATTTTTATATATTTGCTATGTGGCGGGTTTTTATTTCAAAAAAAATATTTTTGATAACCCTTAGAAAGAAGGTTCGTCTATTAGCTTAGGGGGTACATCATCCCTGCGAGTTTATGTGACGACTTCGCCTAGAGTCGGTGAACTTCCAAAAAAGGAATACTTATCGAGAGATATCCTCTTGACGAGTAGGATTTTGGAAGGTCACCCATGACTCTTTGTAACGGCCTTAACCTAAAATCTCATGACGAGACCTTTCATGACTTCGAGACAGAAATCTCGATCCGTAAAGAGGCTCCACCTAAGGGAGGCCCTTGTTCCTTTTCCCTCTGGTTTTATTCATGATACCTTTAAGGAAACCACCTTCTGGGAGGGTAGACTAACCGTAGGTCAAAATTAAGGAGCCTACCTTCTAAGTGTACTTATAACAAAACCCCGTCACTCAACCCTACACCTATGCATTCATGCATTTCATAATATTCGTCATACATTTCATATATTCGTCACCCGTTTCTTTTTTGTCTTATTCACATGGGGTACAAAAAATAATAATAAACTCAAGAGTTTAAGTGACTGTCCTTAAAAATGGATACCAAAGGAAACAACTTGTCCACGTCAATGCGCAAAACATTTCTGAAATCAAAGCCACAAAAGGGAAATAATATGCTGAAGACTTTTTCAAGCTTTGTCAAGCAAAGGTGGATGGTTTCAAGAGCAGATATCCGCAACCGCACCTAGAAGACTTATTTCTCTTTGCTTGATTTCACACAAATAAAGTTTTGGTTTAAGATTGTAATATTTTTCAATATCTGAATTATGTTACCTTCAATAAAGGCATTTTGTTTCCATATCTCGTTTGCGTATCTAAAACAAGAAACCGTTTCATGTTCATACATATTCATTCACATGCAAGCATTCAAGAACACCTGCATATCATATAAAAACTCATTTTTCAAAAACATCTCTCTAGTTGAACCATTGGTAGAAGAAGATCTCTGTAACACCCCAATTCTACCCCAAGCAAATTATGCAAAATAAATCAGAGTTACAAAATTTCAATCATACAAACGAATCAGGACGTCACAAATTCTTCTAACAAGTTCATTGCATTCATTATGGATATATAACACTTATAATAAAACATCGGATGAACCATCAACATAGCATATTTAATAAAATAATTCAACAACTAAGTAGCGGAATTCTTCAATAACATCTTTAAATAAAACAGCAACTTCGAAACATCTCATATTTAGTAAATAAACAATTTAAAGTTCAACAACTAAAAATCAGCAATCAAAAATCAACAAGCGTTCATCCCCCCGAGTGTTACATATCAGAGCCATGACAACGACTCGATCTATTGAAGGTATACGGCCTTCACTCTCGATTACCTGCACGTTACCAACATAGGGGCAACATTCAAACAGAAGGGGTGATATATCTAACAATATAATAAAGCACATGATAATTAATATATTAAATTAGATCAATAATATCACCACTTCTCATCTCATAATCAACAACAATTACAGCATATATACTCATTCATCAACATAAAATATATCTCATTATTCATTCATATGATGCGACTCAAAACTATGCAAATGCATGTGGTACCATTGGAGCAGAACTCCCATCTCAAAAATCTAATCTGCCAATTAATAGAGGCATCAACAAGGCATATCCTTCATCTCAAAATTTGCCAATCCAGGCCATCTCAACGAGCATAAGCTCCATCTCAAAAAAATGCAATGTATGCGACTCAACATGAATGTAATAACACACTCAGTTAACAACATCTCAAAACACATCTCAAAACAACAACATCTCAATCATCTCAAAACGACAACATTTCAGTCATCTCAAACAACAACATCTCAATCATCTCGAAACAACATCTCATAAACATCTCTGAACAACATCTCATAAACATCTCAGAACAACAACATCTCATAACATCTCAACTACAGCATCTCGTAAACATCTCAAAATAACAACATCTCATAAACATCTCAAAACATCTCAATTACAGCATCTCATAAACATCTCAAAATAATTTATTAAACATCATTTATTTATCAAACGTCATTTGTTCATCATAATTATCAAACACAACTTTAATAACCACATCTCACTATTAACTCAGTTGTATATTAATAATACAGTAAGCCATACTGTTATTCTGCAGTTCTACTTCAATTCTGTCATTAATCCTACTGTCATATTTCTAACAGCAGTCTCTAACATCTCATATTTATCATTCTGTCCAAAATCCAGCATAACTGTCATCTACGGGAATTAATTTTAAATCCTAAATTGTTTACTGAATTACACTTCTTTTTCATCATTTAAACCATCTAGAATAAATTTCATCGCATTAGCTAATCAACGCTTCGAACGACATCTTAAACAGCATCCTAAAACTCAAGTTAAAGCAATTTAAAAACTGATTCTGCCAAAATTATTCAGTATGGGTCGACACCAAACTCCTTGGATCTACATATCCTGCTTCATTTGCTCACTATGAGTCGACGTATCCTCCTTATGAATCGACTCATTCTGCTTCAAATCACAGCATGTATCAACACATGCACTCTTCGTGTCGACTCATCCTGAGTCTTGTACTCATCATGCATCGACACATCCTCTCTTCGCGTCGACTCATCCCGAGTCTTATACTTAACATGCATTTACGCAAGCCCTGCATGCATCGACTCATCCTGAGTCCAACAACCTCCTTGCATCGACTCATCCGGTTTGAGGTCGACGCATCCTGCGATTTTCTACATTATTTTTTGCGTTTCTTCTGTAAATTCACTACGGGAATTATACTACAACCCTAAAAATCTTATCATAACCATGATAATTCATCACTTAACATTAACTTACAATACTACATCGATTACACAGCATCATAACATCATTTATCCATCGAGAATTCATCAATATTCATCATACATCATTCAATTCAATAACAAAAACAACAATCCTCTAACCCCGCATATCAAACATCATGAACCCAATTATAAAGCCAGAACCCCACCCTTACCTTGGATCGAAGGTCGCTCTACAATTTCCAGGTTGAATCTTTGTTCTTGCCGTTTCCTTCAAAATCTGGCAGCTTCACTTTCTCTCAAATCCTTATTCTCTTCTACTGCTTCCTCCTTCTATTCTTTCACACAAATAATAAAATAACATAATATTATTATATTATTCCTTATTGGGATCCAAACCTACACCCCCTTATTACTTCCACTCACACCATATAGGCCCACATTAAATAATATTAGCTTCTAACATTATTTCACCACATAATAATATAATACCTCTAATATTATTATTTCTCCGCTTAAATAAAATAAATCCAATTTAATAACACTTCTTCACAATTATTCCAAAAATAATTTAATTAAATAATTAATTAAATTACGGGAATTACAACTCTCCCCCACTTAGAATATTTTCGTCCTCGAAAATTTACCTCAATCAAACAATTCAGGATAGGAGTCTCGCATCTTGCTCTCCAATTCCCAAGTCATGCTTTCTCCTGCAGCTCCTAGCCAAACCACTTTAACCAATGAAATCTCTTTGCCCCTAAGAGTCTTTATTTCATGATCTGCGATCCATACAGGCATCGTCTCTACCGTAAGATTATCCCGTACTTGCACATCATCCATATGAATCACATGAGATGGATCTGAAATATACTTCCAAAGTTGCGACACATGAAACACATCATGCAAATTCGAAAGATTAGGCGGTAAAGCCACTCTATAAGAAACATTCCCCACTCTCTCTGAAATCTGATATGGTCTAATAAAACGAGAAGTGAGCTTCTTAGACTTCAATGCTCGCCCAACACCAGTCACAGGTGTAACTCTTAAAAACACATGATCACCAGCTTGTAATTCTAAATCTTTCCTTCGCTTGTCATGATAACTCTTCTGTCTACTTTGTGAAGCTTTCATCTTTTCTCGAATCAACTTAACCTTCTCAGTAGTCTCACGAACAAGTTCAGGTCCAAGTACAACACTTTCACCAGATTCATGCCAACATAACGGAGTTCTACATCTCCGACCATACAACGCTTCAAAAGGTGCCATCCCAATACTAGAATGGTAACTATTATTATAAGTGAACTCTATCAACGGAAGATAAGTATCCCACGAACCTCCCTGCTCAAGAACACATGCCCTCAACAAGTCTTCCAACGATTGAATTGTCCGTTCAGTCTGACCATCTGTCTGAGGATGATACGTTGAACTCAACCTCAACTTAGAACCCAACGCTTCTTGCAAACTCTTCCAAAAATCAGAAGTAAATCTTGGATCTCTATCTGACACAATGCACAAAGGAACACCATGCAGTTTCACAATCACACTAACATAAATCTCAGCCAACTTCAACACTGGAAAACTGATGTTAATAGGAATAAAATGAGTTGACTTCATAAGCCTATCAACAATCACCCAAATCGAATCATGTCCTCTCGAAGTACTAGGCAACCCCATCACAAAGTCCATTGAAATGCTATCCCATTTCCATTCAGGAACTTCCAACGGTTGCATCAATCCTGCATGCTTCTGATGTTCAACTTTCGACTTCTGACAAGTCAAACATGCACACACAAACCGAGCCACATCACTCTTCATCCCAGGCCACCAAAACAAACCTTTCAAATATTGATACATCTTTGTAGCTCCTGGATGAATACTCAACTTACTTCTATGACTCTCTTCAAGTATCACTTTCTTCATCTCAACATCATCAGGAATACAAATCCGGTCACGAAATCTCAACACACCTTGCTCATCTAGCTTGAAATCACTATTCTCAGATTGATCAATCCCAACCATCGAATCTACCAGTTTCACATCCAACTTCTGAGCTTCTCTGATACTGTCTAAAAATTCATTATTAATCTTCAACATACCCAACATAACACTCTGCGGAGTAACCTCGCAAACTAAGCTCATATCTTTGAACTGCTCGATCAATTCCAACTCTTTAATCATCATTGCTGACATATGTAAAGTCTTTCGACTCAACGCATCAGCTACCACATTCGCCTTTCCTGGATGATAGTTCAAACTGAAATCATAATCCTTTAACAATTCTAACCATCTTCGTTGCCTCATATTCAACTCTCTCTGATCAAACAAATACTTCAAGCGCTTATGGTCACTAAACACTTCAAATCTAGAACCATAAAGATAATGCCTCCAAATCTTCAACACAAAAACAACAACAGCAAGCTCTAAATCATGCGTAGGATAGTTCTTCTCATGAGTCCTCAACTGCCTCGACGCATAAGAAACTACCTTACCATTCTGCATAAGCACACCTCATAAACCCATCTTAGAAGCATCACAATACACCACAAAAGGCTCTCCTGGATTAGGCAACATCAAAATCGAAGCCGACGTCAACCTCTTCTTCAATTCTGTAAAACTTTCTTCGCATTGAACATCCCATACAAACGCTCTACCTTTACAAGTCAACTTAGTCAATTGAAGTGACAACTTAGAAAACCCTTCAATAAACCTCCTATAATAACCAGCTAATCCCAAAAAGCTTCTAATCTCAGTAGCTGACTTTGGAGTTTCCCATTGCAACACAATATCAACCTTCGACAGATCTACAACAATGCCACTACCTAAAATCACATGACCAAGAAAACTAACCTCTTTTAACCAAAATTCACACTTGGACAGCTTTGCATACAACTTCTTCTCTTTCAAAACTTGCAATACTACTCTTAAATGTTCAACATGCTCTTCTTCTGACTTAGAGTAAATCAAAATATCATCGATGAACACCACTACAAATAGATCCAAATAAGTATGAAAGATACGATTCATATATTCCATGAATACTCCCGATGCATTAGTAACACCGAAAGGCATCACTGAATACTCATAATGTCCATAACGTGTTCTGAAAGTCGTCTTCTGAATATCTTCATCCTTCACTTTAATCTGATGGTAACCCGACCTCAAATCAATCTTACTAAACACACAGGCATCCACCAATTGGTCCATCAAGTCATCTATTATTGGAAGCGGATACTTGTTCTTAATCGTTACCTTGTTCAACTGTCTATAATCAACACAAAGCCTCATACTTCCATCTTTCTTCTTCACTAACAACATTGGAGCTCCCCACGATGATACACTTGGTCTTACAACATAAACAACGATTAGAACATCAAAATAACAATACTCGATTGTTAGACAACTAAGACTCGACGACAAGGTCGGACCAACCTGTTGCTCTGATACCAACTTTGTAACACCCCAATTCTACCCCAAGCAAATTATGCAAAATAAATCAGAGTTACGAAATTTCAATCATACAAACGAATCGGGACGTCACAAATTCTTCTAACAAGTTCATTGCATTCATCATGGATATATAACACTTATAATAAAACATTAGATGAACCATCAACATAGCATCTTTAATAAAAAAATTCAACAACTACGCAGCGGAATTCTTCAATAACATCTTTAAATAAAACAGCAACTTCGAAACATCTCATATTTAGTAAATAAACAATTTAAAGTTCAATAACTAAAAATCAACAATTAAAAATCAACAAGCGTTCATCCCCCCGAGTGTTACATATCAGAGCAATGACACCGACTCGATCTATTGAAGGTATACGGCCTTCACTCTCGATTACCTGCACGTTACCAACATAGGGGCAACATTCAAACAGAAGGGGTGAGATATCTAACAATATAATAAAGCGCGTGATAATTAATATATTAAATTAGATCAATAATATCACCACTTCTCATCTCATAATCAACAACAATTACAGCATATATACTCATTCATCAACATCAAATACATCTCATTATTCATTCATATGATGCGACTCAAAACTATGCAAATGCATGTGGTACCATTGGAGCAGAACTCCCATCTCAAAAATCTAATCTGCCAATTAATAGAGGCATTAACAAGGCATAGCCTTCATCTCAAAATTTGCCAATCCAGGCCATCTCAACGAGCATAAGCTCCATCTCAAAAAATGCAATGTATACGACTCAACATGAATGTAATAACACACTCAGTTAACAACATCTCAAAACACGTATCAAAATAACAACATCTCAATCATCTCAAAACGACAACATTTCAGTCATCTCAAACAACAACATCTCAATCATCTCGGAACAACATCTCATAAACATCTCAGAACAACATCTCATAAACATCTCAGAACAACAACATCTCATAACATCTCAACTACATCATCTCGTAAACATCTCAAAATAACAACATCTCAAAACATCTCAATTACAACATCTCATAAACATCTCAAAATAATTTATTAAACATCATTTATTTATCAAACGTCATTT